ACAACAACAACAACAACAACAACAACAACAACAACAACAACAACAACAACAACAACAACAACAACAACAACAACAATGATAACAACAATAACAACAACGACAACAATGATAACAACAACAATAATAAACCCTTTGCAGCTATAAGCCTTAATGCAATGGGTCGAACATTGACAAATACTGATGCGGATGAACAAACTATTTCTCGTATCATAGAAAAAAATGCTCATACAATACAAAATTCAAGCATTAATGAACACACAATATCACAAATTATTGAGAGAAATAATTTGACTGTCCTTGGTGGTGCTGGTAGAACAAGAATGATGGGTAATCAGGTGAATAGAGAATTGAATGTTACTGCCAAAGCTGTTGAAAGGAATCAACTTACCATTCACAGTATAAATGAACGTGAGGATATGTCATTGATGCCTGATTCAGAAACCAAAAGAAATGAACCGAAAATTAGTTGGCAATGTTGTGTAGACTATTTTAATAAATCTACTGGATTCACTTTAACATTTTTAATGATCCTTTCGTTTTTTTTAATTGCTGCAGTAAGAATATTCAGTGGTTAGTATTTAACAAGAGTTAATTATTAATATTGAAAATATTAAATTTTCTCAAAAAACTATTTATTTATATATAATACTCTAAGATTGGTGGCTTATAAAAGGAATAAAGCACAATTTAAATTATGGTGTTTTTCTTGGAGTATATGGAGCACTTGTGGTAACATTTTGTTAAGAATGTTTTAAATAATACCAAATTATACAATTGTTAGAAAATGATATTTTGACTTTTTTTTTTGAATGCTCTTTTAGGGTATAATTATTTTAGGTGTTTTTATACGTGGCGTGTTTTTCGCTTGGGCAATGATGAGAAAAAGCATGTCTTTACATGATCGAACATTTAGTGTAAGTAAATAATAATGTTAATAAATAATGATAACAAATAATAACAGATTATTAATTGATTTTTTTTCAAAAACAACTTTTATTTCCATTTTATTATTATTGTTTAAAGAGAATTATGCGAGCACCAATGGCTTATTTTGATATTACACCTCTTGGGAAAATCTTAAATGTATTTGCAAAACATCAATATCTAGTTGATGATGTTTTAACTGACAACTTTTTAACAGTAAGTTTTGAATAACAATATTTAAATAATGATTGTTTTATAATAATTTTCATTTGTATTCATTTGTCTTTTTTTATATAATATATACATACACATCTCTTGGAAATTATTAGTTTGTGTCATTTTTGCCACTTATCATCGGAACAATTGTATTTGTAATAATACTTGTACCATACCGAGGAGGAAATATGGGAGGCTCTTAGAGCAGTACATTTAGAAGATAAAGTGAAATCCATGCTAGGAAAATTAGATGCACAAGTTCTTGAGAACGGAAAAATTTTTTCATTAGGTCAAAGGCAATTGTTTTGTATAGCAAGAGCACTTTTGAAAAAAACTAATATTTTAGTGTTGGATGAAGCAACTAGCGCTGTAGATTTACACACTGATGTTCTTATCCAAGAAACGATCAAAAAAAATTTCGCTGATCATACTGTATTAACAATCGCCCATCGATTGGTTAGTATTATTATTATTACATCTTCTTTTTTTAAAAAAATGATTTATTAACATATATCTGTATATTGCAGAATACAATGGTGGAAGCCGATAGGATACTATGTTTAAATGAAGGAAGAGTTATAGAATTTGATACGCCACTTAATTTATTAAATAATCAAAATGGATTCTTCTATCAACTTGTAGCATGTAGTGGGTCACAAGCAGCAGAAAAACTTAAACAAATGACAATACAACACGCAAATTCATCAAATTCATATTCAACAGCTTCACAACCTTTACCAGTAGTTAAATCTCAAGAATCAATATCTACAACAACAACAACATCATTGTCATCATTATCACCGAAAATAAAAGAAGGGTTAGAAAAGGATACACAAAAAACTGTTAGATCAGTGGCGGAGGAGAAAAATAGTGACGATGATGATCATGATAATAAAAGTAGTAGTAGTGTTAAATTATCATCATCACCATCACCGTCAACGTCAACACCACCATCATCATCATCATCTACAAATATAATTTCAATAAATTCACTATCACCAAATCATCATCATCATATGCCACTTTCATTAGAAGTAGTATTTGCGCAACCAATTCCAATGCAGCAATTACAATCTTCTACTACCGCAACTACTACTACTACCACCACTACCACCACCACTACTACTAATTCACAAGATTTATCATCGTCATCAACATCATCAAATGAATCATAAATTAAAATCGATATATATATAAATATTTATTAATATAAACATTTTGAAGTATAAATAATTACAACAGAGTTGATAATCAAAAAAAAACTTTTTTTTTTTTCAAGATATAATGAAGTAGAGATATTATTGGAAAGCACTACAAGCAAATGATAACAATATAATTGTTTTTTAAATTATAGTTATTGCATTTCATTGATTTGATTGTTTTACTGGACTTACTGATGAAAATTATTTTATATAGATTAATTAAATTCCTATATTAGTAATCTCTTTAATTTCCATTATTCTTCATTCAATTCTTATTTCATCAAATGAATTATAAACTTTGCTTTGAAACAAAAATATTATAGTATATATTAATAAGAGGATTTCTAGCAGTGTAGTGACAGACGATCTCTGCAAAATATGTTACATATTAATATCTGTATGTGAAATCGAAATCTATAATTAAAATTTTGGGGTGGGTGTTTGAATATGAAATTCTGATTGGCTAATTTGAATTTCACATGCGCGAATTACAAATTCATATAAATTTCATTTTCACGCACAACGTCTCTAAAACTTTCACCTTATGGTATATATATATATATATATATATATTATGCAAAAAACTCAATTTTGATCTGGAGACCTTATACCTGGGTTTTGCTAGAAATCGCCATATTCAATATAAAAATAATTTCATTATCATCTAATATTAATAATAATTACTTTACATCTAGGTTGTGTTGGTCCAGTTCCAAGACCGGTCTTTGAATTGGTCCTCTTGGACCACAGTCCTAATTTTTAGGTCTAGTATATGGGAATTTTTCAATAAAAACGGACCATCAGTGTTGGAAATCCAACGATCTTGTGACCAGCATTTGCACATATTATCAAATTTAAAATTATGGAAATAGCTTTGTTGTATGTGAAATTGAAATTATTAAAATTTTGGGGGTGGGTGTTTGGATATGAAATTCTGATTGGCTAATTGAATTTAGTATGTGAATTGCAAATTCGCAGATTTCTTTTTCACACACAACAGTTCTATGAATTAATCCTCCTATTTTTTATCTTCTTAATATCCACATGCTTTCTCAAAATTAAAGTCTTCGATTTCAGGTCCATTTAATAAAATTATTAAATGATTATTTAATGTATCAAGTTTCATTTTGTTCCTTAATTTATTCTTAATCAATTTTGCTTGGGAAAATATTCTTTCTACATTAGCATTTGAAGGAGGGATATTTTAACTAAAAGGGATATGTTTGGGTAATTAAAAGAGTCACCATCTGTGTCAAAAATGAATTTACAAAACATATTTTTATTTAGTATTATAATTTGCACATAAAATGATCCAAATTTTTCGTGTAACATGCTGCGTCCGCACCTTCCGCACCCTGAATTTTTAACACTGTGGACTATGCATGTTGTGAAAATGATGTTTTGAGAAAATTAAAAAAAGATCTACATTTTAAGGGGTTTACTATCTTGTTTGAAAATTAACTATGCAAAGTGGGTATGGCTTCTAAGCCAAAAATGTTCTATGTGAGGAGTCACATGTAGAAATGGTATTAACTCAACATTGCTTTTTTCACAACATGGTTTGTTTGCTCCCATACAATTTACAGCTACATAACTCATTGTTTTATGAATGCATTGTTGGAAATGATATCTCAATTATTTCTTCAATAGGCACAGTTAAGGTTTCTGGTCGAAACTGCTTCTATTAGTAGCCGAAATTGCCCAAATACTTTGGGCAAAAATTATTTTTTTATAAGCCCAAACTACTTTTTGTTATTAGCCGAAATTGGGCGAAATTATTTTAAAGTTGTTTAAGTTAAAACAAGTTGATTCATATAGTTTTTTAATGTTCATGCTTATAGAAAATGTTGAGAAGCAGTATATGGGAATTTTTCAATAAAAACGGACCATCAGTGTTGGAAATCCAACGATCTTGTGACCAGCATTTGCACATATTATCAAATTTAAAATTATGGAAATAGCTTTGTTGTATGTGAAATTGAAATTATTAAAATTTTGGGGGTGGGTGTTTGGATATGAAATTCTGATTGGCTAATTGAATTTAGTATGTGAATTGCAAATTCGCAGATTTCTTTTTCACACACAACAGTTCTATGAATTAATCCTCCTATTTTTTATCTTCTTAATATCCACATGCTTTCTCAAAATTAAAGTCTTCGATTTCAGGTCCATTTAATAAAATTATTAAATGATTATTTAATGTATCAAGTTTCATTTTGTTCCTTAATTTATTCTTAATCAATTTTGCTTGGGAAAATATTCTTTCTACATTAGCATTTGAAGGAGGGATATTTTAACTAAAAGGGATATGTTTGGGTAATTAAAAGAGTCACCATCTGTGTCAAAAATGAATTTACAAAACATATTTTTATTTAGTATTATAATTTGCACATAAAATGATCCAAATTTTTCGTGTAACATGCTGCGTCCGCACCTTCCGCACCCTGAATTTTTAACACTGTGGACTATGCATGTTGTGAAAATGATGTTTTGAGAAAATTAAAAAAAGATCTACATTTTAAGGGGTTTACTATCTTGTTTGAAAATTAACTATGCAAAGTGGGTATGGCTTCTAAGCCAAAAATGTTCTATGTGAGGAGTCACATGTAGAAATGGTATTAACTCAACATTGCTTTTTTCACAACATGGTTTGTTTGCTCCCATACAATTTACAGCTACATAACTCATTGTTTTATGAATGCATTGTTGGAAATGATATCTCAATTATTTCTTCAATAGGCACAGTTAAGGTTTCTGGTCGAAACTGCTTCTATTAGTAGCCGAAATTGCCCAAATACTTTGGGCAAAAATTATTTTTTTATAAGCCCAAACTACTTTTTGTTATTAGCCGAAATTGGGCGAAATTATTTTAAAGTTGTTTAAGTTAAAACAAGTTGATTCATATAGTTTTTTAATGTTCATGCTTATAGAAAATGTTGAGAAGCCCAAATTGCCCAAACTAGTTTGGGCTTTGAGAAAACAGTTTGGACCAGATGGTTTGTTTGCTCCCATACAATTTACAGCTACATAACTCATTGTTTTATGAATGCATTGTTGGAAATGATATCTCAATTATTTCTTCAATAGGCACAGTTAAGGTTTCTGGTCGAAACTGCTTCTATTAGTAGCCGAAATTGCCCAAATACTTTGGGCAAAAATTATTTTTTTATAAGCCCAAACTACTTTTTGTTATTAGCCGAAATTGGGCGAAATTATTTTAAAGTTGTTTAAGTTAAAACAAGTTGATTCATATAGTTTTTTAATGTTCATGCTTATAGAAAATGTTGAGAAGCCCAAATTGCCCAAACTAGTTTGGGCTTTGAGAAAATAGTTTGGACCAGAAACCTTAACCTACAGCAGTGTTGTGACCAGAAACTCTTTTGGCTTCCCAAAACGTTTCAGAAAATGAACTTACACTAAGCAGAAATCTAAACCTAAACCTAAACATAAGCATAAACTACTAACCTAAACTAATTTCAGGTGGTTTCTGTTAGTTTTTGTTTCTGGTTTTCCCTAAACTCAGAGTTTCGGGTCACAGCACTGACCTACAGCAAGACTCCCAAATGTTGGAAGAGAAATGGAAGAAAGTAAAAAGAAAGAAAAGATATGTAACAAGAATCTTAGCAGCAGATGTACCAGGAAGAAAAAATCAAGGTAATCTCTAATGGACTTGCAGGTACCATACCCATAATTGGGATTAGGGTGCTGACATATATTAGCTAATAATGGCTTCAGTGAAAGATCTGCATTTTTATAATTTTGAATGTAAGTGTTTTAATTTGTGAATGATCTACATGTAAACCAAGAAAAATTGTATTACACTTTTTTTGCCCTACTTTTACCACACCTACCTAGGTTACATGACAAGGTTTTTAAGATAAGATTTCCTTATTTTCTACCAATCATGGAGGTTCTGGCAGGGCTGGCTGCATAACTCAAATGTGCATTTGGCTAAACTGACTAAATTATTTAGTCAAGATGATTGTTACTAATTAGATTTTTAACCCCTTTATGCTGCCAGCCCTGGTTCTGGGTTGGGAATTGTGTAACAGAGGTAGGTGTGGTAAGAGCAGTGTTGAAAATTCAATCGGGGTATCACTTTACACCAAATTTCCATGTGCACGAAATATTTATTATATATTTATTTATTTTTTTGTGCTGATTATTTACACAAATT